GTGTGACCCTAGATAACAAACTGTCCTTCACTGCAAACATCGCTGCTACAACCCGCTGCTGCAGATACACTCTTTACAACATCAGGAGGATACGTTCCCAGCTGACCCAGAAAGCGACGCAGGTTCTGGTCCAGGCTTTCGTCATCTCACACCTAGACTACTGCAACTCCCTCCTGGCTGGTCTACCTGCATGTGCCATCCGACCTCTGCAGCTCATCCAGAATGCAGCGGCTCGTCTGGTCTTCAACCTTCCTAAAATGTTCCCACACCACGCCGCTCCTCCGCTCCCTTCACTGGCTTCCAGTAACTGCTAGAATCCACTTCAAGACAATGGTACTTGCGTACCATGCTGCGAATGGATCTGGCCCTTCCTACATCCAGGACATGGTTAAACCGTACACCCCAGCGCGTGCACTCCGCTCTGCATCAGCCGAACAGCTCGCTGCACCCGCACTGCGAGGGGGACCCAAGTTCCCATCAGCAAAAACATGTCGGTTTGCTATCCTGGCTCCAAAATGGTGGAATGAGCTTCCCATTGACATCAGGACAGCAGAAAGCTTACATATCTTCCGGCGCAGACTGAAAACTCATCTCTTTCGACTCCACTTCGAGCGATAATAAAATGAAAAACGAAAAAAACTAAATAAAAAGCACTTATATACTAACTAAGCACTTAAATACTAGGACTGGCTTATCTAAAGCCAGTTGAGTAGCACTTAAAATGGTTTGGCTCTATGAAACCTAATGTTCTTATTCTATTTTCTTCAAGTTTGTATCTTCTTGGTCGAATGGATAAAAGTGTCAGCTAAATTAAATGTAATGAATCTAGCTGTAAAACAGTGTCATATAAACCGAATCCCAACAGAACCATAAGTGGTGCTTCTCAGTCTCCAGGCCACGCTCAACGCCTCATCAACACAAACCACATATGCTCATTTGGCATTACTATTCTTGCTGTGGCCTCCCTCTTGATGTTTTATTGAAGTCTAATAAATGACAAGAAGATTGAACAGGCAGACAGTGAATGCCATTAGAGAAGACCAGCCTCTCCCAAGAGCAGCACTAAAAAAAACCTTAGTGTGTGATGTGTCAATAAAACAGTTTGACAGTATTCAACATGCAGGGCAGACAAGGCTTCACAGCCCATTAGATACACTAAGGAACAGTAGCATGGGGATGATATAAAGGCCTTAAAGGCAGAATTGAGAGTATTTCAGCAGCTTAATGTGATAATGAAGCATATCAATCTCTAACAACATGATCATCTTTATACATCTTACAAGCATGCAAATATTTTTTGTTAGTCTCTAGCAGATTTTCCCTTCATGTAAAACCTTTTATATTTGTTTTTCTAAGGCAGGGAGCTGTATTATATTCATGTACAGCCCTGGGCACACACGCATTCTCGATAATGTACACACAGACACTAATGGGTTTATATGAACACCTACAATAATAGTTGGCTTTGCAGTGTGAACTTAAGGCTCATTTTTATAAAGTTTCGCTTATACCCGTTAAAGTACATCACATATTTTAGTTGGTAATGGAAAAAATAAAGACCCAGTTGCCAAGGATACTCCTACACTGAAAAAAAGGGGTTGTTCAATTTGCAAATATGCAGTTAATATATGAGACAGAATTTATTCATGTTTTTCACTGAAACATCAATCAATCATGTACTATTTTAATCTTGAGGGGTGTACGTTCTATAAGTCTCAATCATGTTAAGAAACAAGAAAAAAGTTATGTTTATCTCTGTAACTCCGCTCATTGAGCACATACGTCAGCAGCTTGCTCTGCAGCCGATTACTCAGCTTCTTATTATTGACAAATATTTTATTCACAAATCAAAATGGTCGGACTCAAAACCCTACTTTTAATAGTTTCGTAATTGAACTTGAACAATATGGCATTTTAATGGACAAGATGAAAAGCAGAATTAATTGCAACAAATCCTTATTTGAAAATGTTGAAGCTTTTTTTTTTTTAAACAAAGGGGGGGCGGGATGTGTCCACCATATTTTCTTCCCTTATCGGAGGAGTTAGCTGGTTCTGTTCCGAGGAGATCTCTACAAGGTAAAAGTTATTAAAAGTTATTTAATGTCATCAAATGTTCGTCATAGTTACAGGTTATCATCATTGATTTGCCGTTACAACGAGCAACGTAAATTACAGCTGTCAATTTGTAAACATTGTCATTCACTGGTGTTAGCAAGGATAATGCCATAAAAATCATAAGGTGAGTTTATATTGATTGACTTGTGTTTAGCGTGTTTTTATAGTGTGAGTATTTGTAGAGCGTAAGTCCGGCAGTTGCATGCTTTTGTGGTGGAACATTACGGGACATAATTCACTGAGTTATAGAGAGTGTGTTGCGCCACGGACCTGTTAGGTAGCGCACGCACCTGTGGTTTGTTATCATTCTAGCTTGAGTAGCATGTAATGAAGTTCTTCCTACCTTTCTGTAAACTAATGGAAAATAAAGTGTGGAGTTCCATACTCAACACGCCGCCTCCGACTCCCTTTCATCGGCTCTACGCTTGTTTACAATATTTAAAACTATGAACCTTGCCCAAAGTTATGCACATTAAACCGAGCTCAGTGGGGAGGGGGAGTCATAGCCGATGGATGAGCTTGCGGCATATTTGCGGTACGTCTTGTTTTAAATTGTTGTGTCATGTCTGCTGTCAGGCATGTCTACTCTTGTGCCAACTTTTAGGGGCGCTGAGGCAGATTGTACGGTAGTAGGCTACGTTAAGCGACCATCTTTACCCATTTAAGGTGTTGATTGTAAAATATATTACAATATTGTCTGTGAGACCGCAGTGTTTTCCCTAAAAAACGGTGTATGTATCTGCTTTGATCCGCTCTGTGTTCATGTAAATACCGTAAATACACACAGAGCGGATCAAAACAGACACAATATTGTGTGTGGGGGTGTGTCCCGGAAAGCGACACTTGATACTGAAGAGTGGAGGATATTAATTATTGTGTAACATTTTAGCAGTGGTGCACATACAATGAATATGGGGGACATGCCGGACAGATCTTAAAGTAAGGGTTACGATCCACCCGCTGTGAAATGAACTTATCTTTCATATTTGCCGTACACTTGTGTTTACGGAAGTTGAGATGTTTCTCGGTTGTGATTGGTTGACTAACTTAAACTGGATCTTTAACAAATTGAAAACTGGTATTAGTCTGACAATTTCTGAATATTTATTCATNCCTAAGCTAAATGGACTATTCGACTTCAGCCACAGTCTCAGTAACCATCAAAACAAAGTGAAGCAATGGCCGACCAACGGTTCTGTGAGGTCATCTTCAGGTGGGGTCAAACCGGTGTGCTTCTGCCCTCCCCCCACCTTAACAACACTGGGGCCGTTTCTCAATCTCGAGGATGCTGGCTTGGTAGTCGCGTACTTCCAAGTCACTTCCTTCAGAAACGAAGCAAGTAGCTATGCTTCCAAGCCACGGCTTCGGAAAATGAAGAAGAATGGAACAAGCCACTCTCGGTTTCAACATAAACTGTACCGAAAATAAATACCTCACGATGTGTATCTAATTATGAACTTGCTTTACTTTCACGGAACACATTTTTGGTGATAACAAACAAATGTAACAAAGTAACATATTTACCAACACATGTTCTACGCCACTACATACTTACATTTAAATGTGTGCTGCGTCGGTACAGCCATTCTCCGCAAGGGTTTTTGAAATTGGTCCGTGCGCAAAGCATTGTGGAGATTTTAAGGACGCGAAGTCTACCCATGTGCAGCCTCGAAATTTCCCCCAAACCAAGGACGCGGCCTCGGTGGAATTCCAAGTATGCTGGAGATTGGAACAGTCCTTGGGCGGCACTCGATGACGTAGTATCCTTGAAATATTGGCTTGGAAGCCAGTATCCTCGAGATTGAGAAAAGGCCTGGCCCTCAGTGAGTCTTTACATTGCTGACACCACTGCAGGAGATGCTGCCACCTGCTTGACAGGGAAACAAAAGTGCATGCAAATCATAAGACCACAAGTCTCTCAGTTTATATCAGACACACAGAGGCAAAGACATGAATCCCACATCTCATCAATGTTTCAGTTCTGTAGTACGTCTAATATAAATATCCATCATTCATTTTAATGCAGATCCTTCGTGGAATTCTTTCATATATATATATCAACAATGATTCCTGTGGTATGATGGATACTACTGTCACTTAATCCTAAATAGAAGGACACAGACTTACAATCCAATCTTCCATTCATCCAAAAGTCTGTAAGAAATACACAACACATTAGAGTTTCTTCTAAAGGAACACCACCTACAATCTTACACAGTTAGTCCATTGCAAATAATATCTATTTTTTATTTGTTTTATTTAAGTATTGTCAGTTCTGCACAACCCTCTGGATATTTTTGCACATTTGTACCTACACAGCTTTCCCCTCCATAACAATACCGCAAATATTTTTATTTGATTATTCTGAGTAATTTGTCATAGTGAACTCTACGTTTTTTGGTATATCCAGATTTCATGTTAATAATGTTCTATATCTTAATATATTTAAAAAAATGTTCTTTTTATCTTCTTTGACCTGTATGCACAATATACACCAAGGCAATTTCCTTGTAGCCTATGTGTAAACTTTCTTGGCAATAAACCTGTTCCTGATTCTGATTAAGGAACTACCCTCCCCAGCATGTTAGACAAATGTGACATATTGGGGGTTAAATAAGCTTTTAGGGAATTACATTTTTTTTGTATTCAATCCAGTTAGAATTCACCATTTTGCCCAACTTCCCCCTTTCTGCAGGGCCAAGAGCGAGCAGATAAATCCTGACATATCTAAAGAACATTTTGGAAGGTATAACAATTAGATAATTCCATAAACACACTCAAATCTATACAGACTGCATTGCCCTTGTGTAAAGTCGGTAAAAACTAGGTGGCGCTAATTCACGTGAAGCAGGAAACCAGCCGTTATTCCATCAACGAAGAAGAAAACTCACAATGTTGTCTTCCTGTTTTCACTCACGTGTAAGAAGAGTCCCAGCGTAGAGCTCGTGAAGCGTGTGTCCGGCAGAAACACGAGCAAAGACCGAAAATGACTCAGTTAGACGGTGTAATGTAAGTGTGACACTGTGAAATAACTCACCGTGTTCAGGTCTCTACTCTCTTCTTGTCCAGCACTCGAAAAAACGCACTTTGTTAAGACTGCTAGCGCTAGCCTAGCATAGCTAGCACGTTGTTGCTAAACACGCACTGTAAAGCTGTAGTTACAGTCTGTCATAAACTTGTACTAACTATATGGCTAACAGAACGCAGTCCAGGTGCATCACTAAACTGTTATATATTATTTATTTAGACTTTCAGCAACGACCATGGTCAGACTGAAACATAGTGCAAAGAAAGATATTATTTGTATTCTATTATAACAAATGTGTTTTTTTCGTCTCTATATTAATGTTAGCTTATTCTGTATTATTGCATGTCTTTCTTTTTTTTAAGCTGCTATGGCACTTTTGCTGTAACAATGTACATTTCCCAGCTGTGGGACTAATACAGGATTTCTGATGATAAGGGTTAGGATATGTTAGGGATGTAAATATATTTAATTTATACTTCTAATTCTATAATTGTATGTAGCTGTTTATGTGTACTTCATAGTGGATGAACTCTAGTGACTTTTAGGGCTACGGTAAGTATAAGTTTGTCTTCCTATTCCTGCCTGTTGGTGTCAGCTGATAATACAATACAGATACAATTGGAGGGATGAAACCCTCTTTAATGTCACACATACATGCACACAGCACACACATTACATGTTACTTGTGAAGCACAAGGAAATTTGATCTGCATTTAACCCATCCTAGTAGTAGAAGCGGTGGGTAGCTATTGTACAGCGCCCGGGGAGCAATGGGACTGAGGGGGGATGACTATCAATAACCAGCAACATTACACAATAAACTATAAAGCCCCTGAGAACCAATGCCATGTTTGACACATATTTGTTTCTAAATCCTGTGGCATCTTCCCCTTCCTCAGAAAACCTAAAACAAAGCGCTCCAAGCGCTTCCTAGACAGAAGAGCGCCCAAGCTGACTGAGGATGTAAAGACCACCATGATTATGAAAGGGGGCAATGCCAGTCAGACCGTCACCCAGGCCCTCAAGGACATAGTGAGTAACCTGATGATGAAAGACATGTGTTTCACACAGTTGCATGCGCTTTTCTCAGTGTCCATTTCCAGATTATTGTACACATGACAAAATCACAATGTGTGTTCTCCTTCTGTTACACTTTTGAAAGTAGCTCAATGTCAACTCTTCTTTATTCCAATTCGGTACAATTTTAAACTGTCATTCTGAAAAAACAACAACACAGAAGATCTAATCGCAGTGTTTTATTCAGACTGCTGAGATGGGTGTAATTTGACCTAAAGCATCCCTCACATCACTACCTTCTCTTTATCTCTTTAAATTGGACTGGTTGAGTGTTGTGTTCTAGTGTGAATCTCTACAATAAAGTGATAAATATCACATTTATATCATAATAGGCGCTTTCACACCGGAGTACTTTTCCTAGGAATAGTTCCGATAGTTCCTGGGATTTTGCGTTCACACCAAAAAGATCTGGAACTAAAGCTTTTCTTTGCAAACCTTTGCACCCCTTTTCCCTGGGGAGAAAAAGGTTCCCATTTCTGATTAGCTTGGCGGATTACAAACCACGCCCCGTAAAACAATGAAAAGGTTTTGTGAAGCCGCCATTTTATTTGCTCACATTAGCATTAGCCCTGCGCACCAACGGAAAGAGACTAACTTATGGCAACACAAAAGAAAACATGGGAGCGGTGGAGATGAGGAGGTGTCGTCTTTCTGTCGATTTACTCGGAAGGCTTCAAGCCAACTCCGGGGACTTCCGTCCGGGGACTTCGGGTGGCAGTATAGAGTGGCGAAGTCACGCCCATCTACTTCCGGTCCATGGGACCTTATTTCTGAAAAATTATGTATTGAAGTCAATGGAGAAAGAAAACTTATCTTTCGATCCCATTTAAATTGTGCCACGCATTACACATGATGTTAGTCAATATTGAAAAATAATTTCCGTGTCAAAAAAGTCACAGTTTGTCGTAAAACTGTTGAAATATAAGACTATGAAAAATACGCAACTAGAAAAACTACAAATCCCAGAGTCGCGTAAGTGATGTCATAACTGATGTCACAATTGTTTTCCTCCGCTAAATATAAGAGATGGCATTGAAATAAATCAACATGGAACCAGTACTCACTAACTTTGTTTCCCCCGGCCCCTTATCGGAGAACACCCAGCTAGTAACCAAGCTTCAGCTAGCGGCAGTCAGAAACTCAGGTATCTTCGAATCTACTTACAAATAAATATGGGGAAGTTCAACCGTATTTGGTTGGAAAACATCAAATTTAGTGCTTGGTTGAAACCAGTGGAGGGAACGTGTTTGAAGCCTGCTGCACCTTTTGCAAAATAAATTAGCGTCTGTTTTGCTAATGTAGCGTTAGCTAGTGCAGCGTTAGCTAGTGCAGCAGCTCCCACAACAACACCGGGGGACCTCCGGGCGACGTTTGGGTCTATATCAACCCTAAAAGCGGAAGTGCTGTCGACGCTAAATACCGTAGCTAAACACCAATCATACAACAGCAACGATGAAAGATTGTAGCCAAGGCAGCAGAGCTCTGAATATAGCTCTTGTCACACACACACACACTAGGACTATCCCGAATACCATTTTTCGGGCTCCGGATATTCGGTAGTAATCAGCAGCGAATATTCGGTGTGGAGAGATTTTTTTTTTTTTTCAAAAGGTTTCATAACACGCTCCGAATCCGAGACACCTGACAACACGCTGTTAAGCAGAAGCGCAGAAAGAGCATACTATTAAGATTTATATTTATTTATTGTAGGGGTGCACCGAATGGGAAATTCTTGGCCGAAACCGATACCGAAAATAGGAAACAGTTGGCCGAATGCCAAAAGGCCGAAAATGATTAATAGAAATATATATATATATAATGTATACATTTTTTACCAATGTTGTTCAGCTACCTGATTATGGAAAAATAAATGATTATGGCAAAACTTAACTTAAATAATAATCGCTATTATGGGTCCATAAACATTTATTCAGCACTTTTGAATGCATACAGCACATTAATTCCAAGTCAAGTGCATTTTATTTTCTCTGTAGGATAACTACAACAAAGTGCATTCAGAACAAAGCCAAGGTGCTTTAAAACTGCATAAACATCTAGGCCAGTAGGCCTACACCAAAATAGTGTAAATAAAGACTGTAACAGCCCGGCCTTCAACGACAACAAATGCACCTATAAGTGCATGCATACAAATGTGCAAACTGGATAAATCCACATGAATGTAACTATTTACAAATGAAATTACAATTGAATTTCAAGAATCTGTAAATAAGGCTGTCGGTCCTCATAAGCAAAGTAGTAAACATTGTATAAAGATATATAAAGTGAAAACTGGATACAAAATCCACAATCAATTACAAATTAAATTACAATTTTGTCATTTCCTCTTTAATAAATTATGTTAATATCATTTTATTGTAAATTATCAAGAAAATTTACGAGGAACTACGTACATTAAATTGACCATTTTCTAATGAACTTTTATTTTTATATTACTATATGACAATATCACAATTAAAGGAATGGAGGAACATGTTCGTGTCTAACCCGAAGAAGTCTCTCATGAGCGTCCTTCTTTTGTACCACTAAATATTAGGACGGGATCACTCCGTTCGTCGAAAGTACCTTTACGGCACGTTTTACCTTAGTAGTCATAAGGACACTAGTAGAGAAGGTGTGGGAGGTAGTTTCTGGGACAGGTCCACTTGGAAGGAGATATTAGTTTACAGAAATGAAGTCGTCGTCACCTCGTCAAGCAATTGAGTGGTATTGTTTATGTTATCCGCGAAAAGTGTTGTTCATGGATAAGGGTTCCTTATCAAGGGCCTTGAAAATAAAGGACCTTGTTAGTTCATTTAGCGCAAGTGTGACCTTATGTCATGGGTCGCAAAGGGATATATTGTTTAAACCGCCACGTCGCGGCGCGGACTTTCTACGTGCGTCGTAGAATAAAATTATAATTTATTATTATTTCACCGCTGGGAAAAAGTAAAAACTAACAAACAAAACACCTAAACTTTCATAAACACAATGACATTACAAGTTATTTCCTAATAAAAACCGATTTAGAACTCTGTAACGGTGATCCCGACATGGGCTTATAAGTTTATTAAACAAGCAACCGGTTGATTAGCCCAAAGTTAAAGGTAAAAGCCTATAAGCCAAAAAAAAGGGGTTTTAAAAAAAAAGGGGGATTTATATACGTTATATATATATATAGTGATTTCGCTTAACGGTATAAGAATATGATATAAATATGAAAACTTAACGTGACAATTTTACGCCTTTATATATGTTAGAGTCGGACACGAGGACTGTAGCGCAAGTGAGGTCAGTGGCTTGCGTGTTGCCGTGCGAAGTGGTAGCAAAGTGGTGTGGACTTGTGTTTTACGTCTTCTGAAGTCCGACACACCCTGGTAATAATTTAACTGCTGCCATTATTTCTTCCGTCACACGGTTATAGGCGCTGTTCTTTGACCGGAATGGTGCCACCGTTTTTTGAGACTTTTCAGTTGGACTACGACATTCATCATCGGGATTCGAATCGTACAACAGTTCAACCGGTACTACTTCTGACGAAATTAGGCGGGCAAATTTGTCATTGCACAATGTGTGACTATATTTTACACGGGTAAATGAAAACGAAACCCTTTTATCAACGGTTCGTTCGTTGGTTTAACAAAAAAAATATAATCCAAAAAGTTAAAATAGGCTTTATCACTTTTATTATTCCTCATTACACCCTTGTAGACCTCCGGATTCCGTTAATAACCGTATGTCAAGCAAGTAAATTAAATGCAAGAAGTAAATAAATTTATGACAAATAGTACATAGACATTGTTCATAATGTGACAAATCCGGATACAATGCCGAATACAAATTTTCATAACAACAATATTGTCTTTATACAAAAAACATAGAACAAACTAGAATCAACATTTTCAATATACTGTCTTAAACCTTCGCGTCTAAACCAGGGACCCGTGTGAAATCAAAATTACAAACGCTCATGACTTCTGTTATTATGAATCCCTACGTGGCTATAAGCCGGCGGGTTTTAATAATCCGGCTTTTACCAATTTTTCCGGGAAAGCCGGCTTTCCCAAGATCGTGGGCTTTTTTATAGTGGCTTACAGTCTCTTGTCGCCGGAATGCAACCAATTTATTGCACAACAACACTACTGCATTAGTTTTGCGCCGCTGTTTCGTGCCACCGCGCTGGTACGAGGCCGACCGAGTGTCGGTCTGTACAGGGACGGCGAACTCTGGATAGTGTTTTATAGTCTCTTTCTCCGGCGCGCCTAACGCTAAACATTTTGCACAAGTCGACTGTAAAGAGCTCCCCACATTGAACGTTTCTTGAAAGTGGTGACAGGCCTTAAAATGAGGTGGTGAACTTTACGTTTTGTGGGCCTTGTTTATACGGCCTCATTTCTTGTTTAGTGTTCGTGACCTGGTCGCGTCTCTGACAAGTCCGACCGAGAGTACGTCACGAACTACTCTTCTTCCTTGTCTTGAATACCGACTATTTTAGTCTTCTTCGATTACAAGTAATTTTTATTGAGGGTAAAACGGAATTTATTCATCTGTGTTCCGACCGAATAGGATTCCGAATAGATCAAGATGTTACAGATGAGGATATGGTGAAAGGACTTGTTAAAAGGTAAACACTCAATATTAAGTGTAGAGTCCAACTAGTTAGAGTCCCCCTTTACTGTTGTCGTGTCACAAGTTATAATAACATGAAAGGCCAGATAGGATTTACGCTTATGTTACAACAAATGGTACGCGAGTACTCGCTCGTTGGGTGGGTTTTTAAATAAACGTNATCTCAATACTTTGTTATATACCCTTTGTTGGCAATGACAGAGGTCAAACGTTTTCTGTAAGTCTTCACAAGGTTTTCACACACTGTTGCTGGTATTTTGGCCCATTCCTCCATGCAGATCTCCTCTAGAGCAGTGATGTTTTGGGGCTGTTGCTGGGCAACACAGACTTTCAACTCCTTCCAAAGATTTTCTATGGGGTTGAGATCTGGAGACTGACTAGGCCACTCCAGGACCTTGAAATGCTTCTTAAGAAGCCACTCCTTCGTTGCC